GTAGTGATACTGCCTCGGAAGCCCGGGGGGGGGGGTCGCTATGAGTCGGGTCCGACTCGACGGCACACAACAACAACAACATGAAGAATTGTACTCCAACAAATTTGAAATTCTGGAAGAAATGGATAGATTTCTAGAAACACACTACTTACCTAAACTAACACAGACTGAGATGGAAAAGTTGAACAGACCCATAACAAAAGAAGAAACTCAATAGGTCATTAAAAAAAAAAAATTGCCAACAAAAAAAAAAGTCCTGGCCCAGATGGTTTCACCAAAGAATTCTGCCAAACATTCAGAGAAGAACTAACACCAATTCTACTCAAACTACTCCAGAACATTTATGGTATTTCTGTTATAGCAACACTAGATAAGGTTAGCAGTCAAATGCCTTAGGCACTGTGCCACCAGAGCTCCTAGGTAACTAAGACAACAACCAAGGAATCAGTGGCAGGAGGGGCTTCTTGATAAAACAGTTCTAAATAATAAATGCAGAATGAAAGGTGGAAAAATCACCACTTTGCAACTCCTAATAAAACAATTGATCTTGACAAAGACCACCAATGGCTGCTAAGAATTTAGGTTGAAAGACTGATGGAGAACTTTATCATAAAAGGATCGGACTGGTACCACTTGAATTCATTGCTTAGTCTTAGCATCATCAACACTGCAACAACCATACGTGATGTGCCTCCTGAGTGATACAATAGGGAGAACATAGGTTTACCAATGTAATATTCTTGCCTAAACAAAGTTGAACCCTCATCTATTCAAACCTCCAGATCTAAATATCAGTTTATAAGCAATATGGGGACATGTTAATTGCCACTACAGTGAAGAAATCAGTCTATCCAGAAGGTGAACAATTGTGCAGAACAAATGATTGAGTTTGTCCTGAAAAATCAATGTTATCACTATAGAAAGAAGAGTAACAGAGAGTAAAAGACACAGAATAACCAATTGCCAAATGTTGACCTTGTCTGGATCCTAATTTGAACAAACCAAGTGTAAGAAAGCTCCTGTGAGATAATGGGGATACTTTTAATTTGATTTGCTATGATATTAAGAAATCGGTGTGAACTTTGTTGGGTGTGGCTTAGTAATTGTGGAATAAGGATAAGACAGAGGAGGGAGAGAAGAAGAGGAATGAGGAGGAACAGGTCTGAAAACCTTGGTTGAGATATGGTGGTATCATATCTTGGTTTGTGTTGGGACCAGTGGCAGAAAGAATGTTGTTGTTGTTATGTGCCATGGAGTCGGACCCAACTCATAGCAACCCCTCCTTGGGTTTCCAAGGCGTTATCACTACGGAAGTAGATTGCCGAACCTTCCTTCCAAGGAGTGGCTGGTGAGTTTGAACTGCCAGTCTTCTGGTTAGCAGGCAAGTGCCTTAGGCACTACGCCACCAGAGCTCCTATGGGACTGAAAAACAGCATTCTTAGTAAGCTGACATGGTCTCTGTTCTGGTTACCTAGTGCTGCTCTGACAAGAATATACCACAAATGGGACGGCCTTAACAAACAGGAGTTTATTCTCTTACAGTTCAGCAGGCTAGAAGTCTGAGTTCCAAGCGCCAGGCTCTAGGGGCTGGGTGAAAGTCCCTAGACCTTGGGCTTCAGCTCTGCCTCTTGCTTCTGGCCCACTGCAGCTAGAGGCATCTCTCCATTCAGGCAGCTGCTAGCTACTGAGGCAGACAAACCCAAGGTCAACAAGTGAAAAGGCATAATCCTGATGTTACCAAACTACATGGCAGGCCATTAATTCAAGTCCGTTGAAAGTCACAAGGTTGGCAGAGCATAGAAGGCTGCTGAACAATGACATGGCTACATTCAGGATTCAAGC